TCTAATTACTTCCAATCGACCCTTAACACTCTCGAACCTTCATTGTGATCTCTGACATAATTTTTGAGTATTTGCACTTTAGTCCCTGAACTTTCACTTTCTTCCATTCTGGTCATTTTTCAATTGTTTCTCCTTATTTTCGATGCATTCATCACTTGTCGTGCAAAACATGAATTACATAGAATTAAGCTATATTCCAACATATTAATCAACAATTGCTCATATTTTGACATTAAAATAAGTACATAAAACGTACTTATCACCCACGTCGTCCCACCCACAACCACCGCCACTAACACCGCCAACGCCACCTCCACCGCACCACCTCCACAAAACACACCCAGAAATTCACATCAGATCAGGATCACAGATACCTACTTCTGAGTAACCACTAAAAGATCACAACCACCACACANAAATTCACATCAGATCTGGATCACAGATACATACCCAGTGGCTTTGTGCAAACCCAGTGCAGCGATAGCACCCATTGCTGAGGGAACAGCCATGACTGTGCGAATACGCTAGTGAATCTGGCTAACCAAGTGGGCACGAACACCCAGAGCTCTCTATGTAACGTCGATGTTCACAGCACCGCTGTGGGCACCGTCATTTTTTGTCGATTAGAGCAGTACTCACAACGAAGATGGTGAAGCCGCTCATTGTCTTGCTATTGTTGGCATCGATATTTCTCTCCAGAACACCGATAGTTGGAAACCCCTTCAGGAAGCCCTACTTTGCTGTCGCTCCATCAAATCTCCTTCGTTCGAATATTTTTGAAAATTAAAACTTGAAATCTGATTTTAGAATATAAATTTTGAAAAGTAGGGAATCAGTTAATTTGCACATTAACTAAAGTCCCTGTTTGGCCCTCATTATTTGATATTTTTGATAATTGAAAATTTTTGGAATAGTGATTGATGAGAGAACGTGTGGTGAAAAAGTAATGAAATATTTTAGATTTGTGTGTAATATTATTTTATTTGGTGAATATGTAGTTGTAAAGAAGACATTTAATGTAATTTAATTTAAGGGGGTCAGGGCAAAGCTCAGTAGACAAACGTAGAAAAGACGCGATCATCTTCTCCGGCGAAAGACCTGGCGGC